GTTTGCTAGCTGTGGGACGAGTGGGAAACTTACTTTTGGGACGCGCCTCGTAGATATTTTAACACAAAGAGATTAATATTGATTGCCCTTACTTGTGGTTCTTGTATTTTGTTCTTCAAGGTCAAGGCTGGTTTCATGACACTTTCAAAACGACGCAAACTTATAACACCGTAAACAAGGCTGAGTTTCTTATTGAAAATCCCCGTTCTGCTTGATATCAGCTCTGAACAGGAACTAAGCAGAATACAGACCCACAACTTCCGCGCCTCGCCAAAGAGATTGCAATAACAAGTGGGACAATTCATTTCACGAACCGAGTAATCTCTTGCTTATATGAACCTGTGGACTCACAGAGCTGATACGAATGTCAAAATAAAGCAGCCTAAGGAAAAAAAAAAGTATATGAAGACTCACGAACAATTTTTGTACACGGCCCTTCCCTCACAACAGCAAAATTACGCGAGGTAATTCACAGATCCTTTTTTTTTTGAGATCAGTCGCACAAATATTTATTTTGCATTCAATAACTTTCCTTTTTTACGAAAGAAGCCGCTAAAAAGTTGAGACAAAAATTTCTTGGGCACAATCAAATTCCATTAAAACCTACGAGGAGAGGATTATCACAACGACTAGAGAAAAATGCGTAATGAGGAACTTCGTAATTTATACACATCATAAAATCCTCGTACCTTCATCAAACCAAGACGGCATTGACCTTCCATGAGATAAAACACGTTCATGCAGCCTTGAAGAGAATTAATAGATCACGTGATGGTCAAGGGTGTACATGGGAGGATAATATTAAAGTGGAACCAAAATAAATAGTTGAGAGAAGAATAGCGATAGGATTTATCTGTTTTGAGACAAGGTCTAAGTAGCTAATGATTTCACTTTTGGGTTCCAGCTTTATATCTTTGACTAGATAAACGATGTTGCACATGAAAGACTACGCAATCCCTCGTTCAACGTGGATTCGATTAACCGCGTGAAAATTGGATTATACGCGGTCTGCCAAACACGCTGAAGTTTAATAAGAAAAATTCCTCTACTCTTTAAGAAGCTGAAGATGGTTTATCTCTCACATACGTATTTATGTAATAAATTTGATTAGTTTCAAATCAGGGGTACTCAATCTTTTTTTATAATTTAACACATTAAATGTGCTATTAACCAAATGCGCTCAGGAAAAACTGTTATTTATGTTAATATTAACTTTTGATTTTGTTAGTTAGCGTACCACTCAACATTGGCTCGCGTGCCACCAGTGGTACGCGTACTATAGGTTGAGAAACGCTGGTGTAAATTTTTAATTTGATGTTGAACCTAAAAATGATTTCAATTGATATTCTAACATCTAGACCAGCGTTTCCCAAACAGGGTTGCGCAGATATCGTCAGGAAGTTCCGCGAGGAATCCTGGAATAAATAAGTATATCGAAATTGGAATCGTCTACAGAAAACCTTGCCCAGTACTTTCCTTCTTTGTAATCAGAAATATATGACTAGCTGAGGAATCCTTTTGTAGAGTTCTCAACAAATGCACAAAACTCTACAAGAAAATAACTGATTAAACTACAGTGCGATCTAACTTTGAAGATAAAATTAAAGGAATGCTGCCCTGACGTGTTTTTGATTTTGATAACGAAACAATATCCCGTGATCTCAGCAAAAGCAGCGAACATCTTACTTCAAATTTCAACTTTTTACTTCTGTGAATAAGCTTAAGTATCTCTGACAAACATTAAAAGCAAAGGAAGAAATCTTCTGCTGTCTGTCAAGGAAGAACTGCGAGTGTGTTTGTCAAGAATTCGGCCAAGAATTCAACATTTCTACAAAAAGAAACTAGCCCAAGTATCACACTGAAAGTAAATCTTATATTGACTTTGGATGTGAACTTTATTTGGATGTTTAAGTAAGCTTTATTTTGATTTTATATTTTGATATTTCATAACAAAGATTATATAATAAGAAATACAGGTAAAATGCTTCAATCTTTTTCTTACAATTTTTCAAAAAAATTTTCTTCAAAATAATTGAGTAGCAATTGAAATGAATTCCTCGCTATCAACTTTTTCTGGTCTGCAAACGTCTTTTTAGCTAGGGGCTCCTTGTTATATGAAAAATTATTTTGGGGGTTCCTGCACGGAAAAATATTGCAAACACACTGATCTAGACACTCGCACAAAGCTTTCCTAAAATTCATCTGCTTATAAAAGAGGTCCCAAAGGGATTTATACATACGTCAACATTATGTATACATCTTTTTGGAACATTCTGTATAATGCATTTGTCCCCATCATGAAAATCTCCGTGCTTTGTTATTCTTCTGTATGCGTTGTTCGTCCGTTCATCCTCACGTAAGGAGCAGTCCCGAAGCAGTTTTTTCATCTCTCATGATTTTCCTTTTCATTGTCTTTGCTTGAGTTAAAGTAGCATTGAATGGTCGTAAATTAATTGGATTTCATCTGCCCTTTTCTTCAGTTATAAATAGAATGGGTAAAAATTGGAGTAATGCCATGTGACGTGTGCCCTACAAATAGAATGTGTAAAAATGGGAGTAATGCCATGTGACGTGTGCCCTAATGGAGGTTAAGGCAATCTGAGGAAAATTACTTTTATACCCTAGAATGTGAAAGGTTCAACTTGTGAAATGAACATGAAAAAATTGGTCTGTAGCAGGAAAGAGAAATTGCAAAATGAAAAGTTCATGAACAACTATCGTTTTGATAGAACCACTTTCGACTTAGCAGTCAGTAACAGGTAGCTCATGATTGGGCGTTTGTCCGGTTTAAGTACGAAAAAACCTGCTACGAAGTTCCAAGTGTCAGACACAGAACTTGTTGTTCCTCCCCAAGAGACTAGAATCAAATATAATATTAATATTTTGTGAAAATGCAAAAAATTGTCTCCGATTTTGAGAAAAGGTAGGAAGGCCGAAATGAACTACGTATGACGATATTTGTAAACAAAATGTTGTCGAGAATACTGAGACATAAATAGCACAGTATCGAGTTAAATAACAAATAAAATGTTAAAATGTATTCCCAATGCAGTAATATAAGGTAAATAAAGGATAACGAGATGTGGATGGATGATTTCGAATGGTGAATATGTGAAACTGCAGCCGTGTCCCAATTTAAATTACATTTTCTATAGAGCCAGTGAGGTAAATCACAAAAGATCTTCACCCAAGGACGTGTTTTCATTGCACCTCTAAGTTATACAAGCTCATGTTTCAACTGCAAATTTAAAGAAACGTGAACAACATACTATTTTTATGTCCAACAACAAGTTATAAACAAGCTTCTTTTCGTAGAATCTTTATGGCATGCTCCAAATCAGAGTAAATTTTATTAACACTGTGAAAATCCGCTTCGTAATAAATATCTGTTTCAATGAGACCACGAAGAGCAGCTAACGATGGGAAGAGCATCATTGTTTGTTTCGTTCTGTTACCATCAGCGCTGTTGAATCGTGACCTAACTCCAACCAAAACTCATTTATCTTTCCTGCAGTGTGACAGCGAGCGCTGTAAATGGACTAACTTGTACTTGAAGAGAGTGAGAGTGATCGCTTTAAGTGGGACATCTTGTACTTGAGGAGAGAGAGAGTGGTCGCTTTAAGTGGGACACCTTGTACTTGAAGAGAGTGAGACTAATTGCTTTAAGAGGGACAACTTGTACTTGAAGAGAGTGAGA